GGGCATACTAGCCCCAAGGCATTGGAAAAGTATGAGTCACATCGTTGGAATTGAACTCCCAGTCTCACCCTCACACGAAAAGGAAAAGTTTTTTCCAACCTTTGTGTGGGATCTCGGGAGGTTGGAGATAAGAACTTTGGTTTTCACGCATTTGGAGATGTACAAAAAACCGTCAGAAGGAGTGTACTTGACATTGAAAAATCTCATGAGCAAAGGAACAGTAGGGACCCCAAGATTGTGCTTTTTGAAGAAAACGAGGAGGCCCATCACCACACCCCAGAAATTAGGAGAAAGCTGAGCAGGACAGACATTGAAATACTGCAAAACACTCTTGATAAAGGGATGCATGGGAAAACGGAGACCATTCTCAAAAGTGGCCATGAAGAAACATATTTTCTTGGGGATGGAAAAATCATATTGGGTGAACATGTCTGGACTCCAAAACTGCACACCTTGAGGAAAGCCAAAACGAGCGGCTAGAACCTTTAAATAAAAATGAAAGAGGTCACTATGACCCATGAGCTCAGCAGCCCTAGGAGCAGCCCCTCCACCTTTGGCATTGCCAGAGACCCCTACACCACTCACCTTGGTTTTGCCCTTGTTCAGGGCTTTAGGAATAGGGGAGGATGACAGAGGAGGCTCCTTAGAACCTCCCGTGACTTCGGTAGAGTCCACGCCTGGGAAATCATCAATTTTTTGCCCCATATCTCTCAGATCAGAATCCACCTCAACAGATCTGTCCCTCATTAGAGAGATGGATGAACCCGTGACTTCAGACGAAGTGGACATAGCTAGGTTAGAGAAAGGAAGCTTAAAAGACCTATAAAGCGGTGGAACCTCTGAGAAACACTCTCTGAGAGTCAGGGGGCAAGACACCAATGACTAATAACAAAAATCCTAGCCGTAGAATAAGGATCCAAAAAGAGGGGGATGCGAGACAAAAAAAGGTTTCTATTCCAAAAATAGCAGAACCGAAAGGTCCAAAAATGCAATAACCACCTCAGATTTGAGGAATCTAGAACGAGGAACTGAGAAAGAGATGAAGGACGTACCTAAGCAAAGACCAACGATGGACTAAAGCTCGAGAACAAAAATCTAAAAATAAGCCTCGCTAAGCCTTCAAATCAAATTAGAGGAAATCATCTTCTTGAGAAACCCTAAGAATGACGGCAAATCAGAGAAGATGAAATTGCAAGGGAATAAAGGAGAAAACCAGAGAAAATTTGAAGAGTGAGGAGAAGACTGTTGGTCCAGGAGTATTTTAAAGCTAACGATGCAAAAGGGTTCAAAGTGGGCAATATTCACGAGAAACAAGAAAAGAAATGATTATTAATAACTGTCAGAAGTTTGTTCGCACAAATACCGAGGTCACCTAATAAGGGTCTACTCTGCCTCAGTTTGAGTTCAACCCTTACTCAAGCCAGCTTGACCAAGAGCTGGGGGGCAACTGACAATACCTAGAATAATTTTCAAGTATGAGCTCAGGCGCGAAGGTCAGACAAGGAGGTCAGACAAGACACGCAGAGCTCAGAGGACCAGAGCTAGAGCTCACCCTAGATAAGACAATAGCAGAGATGACAAGGGAACAACTGGGCATTAACAGGAACCCTACAGGTGGCAAAGAGTCATATTCAAGACACAAAATCCTCAACCAACCAAGATATTATCCAAAAATCAAGGAGGAATCCACGGGTGAAAGGCTAAGATCTCGACATAGATCCCTCAAAACAAGGAACAACTCTATAAATACTGTATAACGCCTCCAATAAGGAGAGAGAATGCCCGATTGCCTAAGAGGCAAACTGTAAATTTCATCCACATTAATTAAATTAAGAGGAGTAGGAATCTCCATTGAAAAGTGAATTAGCCGAGCTCCCGAGCTGGTGAACCACTGTATTTTCACTGTGTAATTCCCCTCAATCCCTGAAATCCTTTGTTACGATCCTCACGAGCCAAGGAGCTCAGTCTCAGGTTGTCAAACATAATATCGACCCTCTGCTCATCCATGTTAATTGCACCATCAATGCTATAAACCCTAATTCATAGGTTGGGAATCCCTCCTACACTTATCTGGAAAAAAAATTATTTAAACATGACGAAAGTAAAATTGAATGTAGTTAAAGAAGGCATGAAAATAAAAACAAGTAAATAAATGCAAATAAATAAAACTTGACTTGAAAATAAACTTAAATGAAGAAGTTTGTATTTAAAACAAGGAATTGAAAGCAAGTTCAAGTCAATCCAAACGCTAATCATCTTTATCTACCTGGATTGTGTCTGCCCATGGACACCAATCTAACTCCATATCCAAATGCTAACACGGACAAACACCAATAAGTAGAAGTTTTAGACATGCTTCTGGAGTAGCACAACAATAAAGAATAAGACACAAACACATCTAGTAATACCTAACATCATATCTTCAGCTTCTCTAATAACAAAAAACTTGATCGTAGTTCTTTTGCATAATTCTCAGTCAGCCAGGTTGAATTGACAAAACATTTGTCAACGGAACAAAAAATCATGATTGTGTCAAATGCCTCATATAAATTGGAAGAAGACATTGAACTATAATAACACCAATTGTTTATATATCTTGATGGATTTTTCGTACACCCCGAAAGATTTTAAGATTCCCACTTTGCATATTCAAAAATTAAATTTTTTATATTATACTCTCAATGTATTAAAAATATTATAATATGATCTTTTTATTAGCTTTTATTATTTTTTTTCGTAAAAAACTAACTCATGATACTGACGGAAAAACTAACAAAGATGTCACATTTCAACACTTTTGATACATTGAAGACGCAATATGAGAAATTTAGTCTTTAAGGATACAAAATAAAAATATTAAATTTTTTAAGGTACAAAGTACGATTCGAGCTACNATTGAAGACGCAATATGAGAAATTTAGTCTTTAAGGATACAAAATAAAAATATTAAAATTTTTTAAGGTACAAAGTACGATTCGAGCTACGCAATGCCCTTTTGAAGCTTAACTTAGAATGAACGAAATAAAGCAAGAAGATAAAATAACTTGTCTTAATTATACGTATCGATTATATTAAAAATTTATTAATTAAAATATTTTAGCTATTTTTATTTTACTCTAAAGAATTCAAAAAGATTACAAAATTAATAATTTCGATACCTCATTTAACGTATAGGGAGTATCAGTTTCTTCGCATTGATATAAAAAAATTATGCTCAAATGTAACAAAACATATTAAAATTTAAGACTATGTTATTATATAAAACAAGTAAAATTAATTTTTATTCTGTTTAAACAAAATATAAAAAAAAATTATTGCAAAATTCTTCATACATTTCACTTCAACCTTATATTAAAGCAAAACACACCATTATTTGATGCGGTTCATTCTTATTTTCATTTAGCTACCCATGTAGCTTGTCAAATTTGGTAATTTATATAATTATTTAGGATGCAAATTTTGAAGATATTTTTAATGCGTGTATTTAAAGTTTTTGTGAGATAAATATATACATATATTATTCTTACTAAATATATAGATATATTATTTATGATGCAAATTCATTTTTTGCCCATATTTAGATATCATACGATAAGTTTATAATATAAAAATTGTTAGTAATTTAAATGTTGTCTACTTGAGAAATCACATAAAACCATATTCAATATTTTAGGAACTAAAATGATGCAATTGAAATATTGAGAACCAAAATGAGATAAATCTCATATATTTGGGGGATCTCCAATGTAATTAACCCAAAATTAATTATATAATTTATGAGTAAAGTTTCTACATAGAACGACAAAAAGAAATTTAGAAAACGATGCAGAGCTTCAAAAAAAAGAAACATATGAAATTAAAACTTGTTTTTAATTTGATTTACTCGTTAACCTCATGGTTAGAATGTTCTAATGAACATTAAGATACTCAACTTTGGTTACGTTTAGGGTCTTAATCGTGTCGTGTTTGTATAATCTGCATATCGTGTTATTCGTATCGTGTCATTGTTATTCGTGTTGTGTTGGTGTCAAGATTCACGAAAAAAAAATTATTTTTTGTGGGTTCTAAATATTAAATATTAGTTTAAACTATTTATTATGCGTATGTAATAATTGTGTCAATTTTATAATCATTCGTGTCGAATTCGTATTATCATGTTAGAGTTAACACCCTTGTCACTTACGTCTAATTGATTAGCGTGATATTCAAATATCACTAATTATAATGGTAAATGATATTTTGCACTTGAAATATTTTTAGATTTTTTATTTATACTTTAAAATGTTAAAATTTTGAAATTACACTTTCACTCAACATTAAAAAACTGACAATGTGATTTATTTGATTAAAATTGTGTATGAGATTTTTATGTAAAATACATAAAGTTGACTAATATATAAATTATTGAGCATAGAAATTAAAAAATAAAAAATAAAAAGAGTACGACACAAAAAATTTAGAAAAAGTAACAAGATTTGTTTTTTTTTACCACATTATTATCTTTTTTTTTTCTCATTGAAGGTGAAATTTAAAAATTTTTGGGGGTGTCATTCATCCTAATTACAAAGGGTTTTTTGTAATTTAAATCCCAAAAAATATCTCAATTTGACTTTATTTCATAATTTTTTTTTCTTATATTATACCTTAAATGTCATAAATTAATTTCAATGTGATTCTTAGACTAACATCTGCTTCAGATTCTGTTAAACAATTATGCATATGTCACCCAAAGATATGAAATGTGAGTTTATATTTTTGTCAAATAACAACACATATAGGTGACATATGCATCAATTTTTAATGAAATCTGAAATGAATGTTAGTCTAAGGGCCATTGAAACTAATTTAGGACATTTATGGTAGAATGTGAGAAAAATAATTTTTTAGGGTATAAAGTAAAAATTAAAACATCTTTTAGGGTTTCAAGTGCAAAAAGCTCTAATTATAAATTCATTATTATTATTATTTTCAATCACTTCTAAAACTTGAAAACGGGTCGGGAGAGAGAGAGAGGGAGGAGATGGGGAAGAGCAGCCAAGACTCTGGGAATTGCAAGAAGTACGGTGTTCCACTCTACGGGACTGCCTGGGTCCCCAAGAGCGCAATCAGATCTGAAGCATCGGAAGACGTTGATCGTCCGGAAAACGACTGTGGTGAAGTTTCCGGCGAAAATCCTCCACCGCCAATTGCCACCGAGAATTATCTGGTCCTCGCCGGAGGTGGCGGCGCAGGACGTAGCGGCATTCCCAATGCTCTTCTTCTTTCCTACTTTGATTTCAACTCCAACTCCCTCTCCGATCAGCCTGTGAGCCCCAATTATGCATTGTTATATATATATATATATATGTGTGTGCGTGTGTGTGTGTGTTTAGGCCGTAAAAACAATCATTCATTCCTTTCTTATACCTTCGATTACAACACACACACACACACACAATTGTTTATTCATTTCGGAATGTATTAATTAAGGCAATTTGTTTTCTAAACTAAATCTTTTTGTTGGTTTGTAAAAGCAAAAGGTGCCAATGAGCTACAACGTAAAAGCACTTTCACTCATCCGATAATGTGAAGTGTTGGATTTTATCTTTTATGATACTTCTGCCTTTACATGTCTTTTATTGAAGGTGGCAAAGCTTGGAACTGGTGGTGATTTGCCATACAGAATTGCTGTGCACCCTGGAGGGGAAGGTCTTATTTGTTCATTACCAAAAGGTTGCAGGTAGTGTTCTTGTGTACTTTGCTATGTTATTGGCACAAAGTTGTCTAATAATACGGAAACTCCACTCCAACATTACTGAAACATATTGAAATGAGGGATTTGAACTTGAACTACTTTTTCTTTTATTATATTTTGTTTCTGTGTTTGGTTTATAGTTGGGGCACCAATACCAGTTGAAATTCTAGGAATTGATATAATCATGGCTTTCTGGTCTGGTCTTCTAACAGCCATGGTATTTACGCAAGCATCTATTAGCAGTTATTGTTCATCTCCCAGCCTATTTCATCAATGGTTTATTATTCTTGATATTGGATGGGGCTAAATGAGGTTACTTGTCATGTCTTTTGTTTACCACCACGTGACAGGAGAACTTTACATTTCACAAATACATTTGTACGATCAGTTGTAATGACCGAAACATTTTAGGGAACGGATATGAGGAGTGTGAAGGAACATACACATAATATGTGCAATCCTTCTAGTGTCGGATAGAGGTTGGTTACTAAATCTAGGATTCGTAATTGCTGAAATAGGCGCAAATATGAATTTTCATCTTTCTTCCTTGGTGTACGTGTTTGCCCAAATAGGCAATTCAGCTGACCATCATAGACCTACCATAATATAAGTGTTGTTTTGCATTTCTCACCTTTCATGTCACACCCATTTCGAGAGACCTCTTTAGTTTTCCTAAGATGGAAGGGTAACTTAATACGTGACAATTCTTGCACTAGGAATGTAAGAACGTATGAAAAACTAACAATCTCAATTGATAATCTAATAAAATAGATAATTTAGGTGACAGAATACACAACGATGTCGCATGAAACAAAAACTATAGGTATTTCATCCCTTTACAAGAAGGAAACAAAATACTCACGTACACTATGTACATAAACAGTTTCCTTAATCTTTCTCTACCATGTTATTGTTGTACTGAATCTCACTCTAGACTTCAACATTCATAAACGAGTAATTTTCTTGAATGTATCGAACATCATAATCAATGGAAATACAATGAAAATATGTATTAAATATCATTCCACCCAAAATATGTGCACAATCCAAACCAAATCAAAACAAAAGTGATATCAACCCACTTTGGAACTCAAGTCAACCTCATATATCAAAATAGTAGATATTCCACATGAGCCACGAGTCAAACAACAACATTTAAGCAATTTCAAACTATCTATAATATTTAAGCAACGTCAAACTATCTCACAACATTTACTCAATGTCAAAATCAACAACATGCTATGTCAAGCTATTAATAACTCGGCACAGTGGCTAATACTGAAACCACAAACTTTTCACAAAAGTATATTTGATCTATAATTTAAGGAACTCAACTCAAATAAATTTGTCAAAGTTGATTTTCACATAAGAAAGCTAAACTTTGTATATCATATACTTTTATTTTTAATTGTTATGAAGCGTTACACTCACTTTTTACCACCAACAAATACACCACACTACTTTACCATCGATCTCTAGGTGGAACTGATAGTAGTTATTGACCATAACAATTAGCATATCTACAAATGCAAAAGAGTGTCGACTCTAAAATAATTCAAGAAATGCATATGGGAATGGTTTATCGTATTTCAAAGACTTTAAAAAATTTCAAAGGACATTGTGAATTAACCCATTTATCCAATTTTTGCTTTAGACACCTTAAGAATGATTAAAGTGTNGTGTGCGTGTGTGTGTGTGTTTAGGCCGTAAAAACAATCATTCATTCCTTTCTTATACCTTCGATTACAACACACACACACACACACAATTGTTTATTCATTTCGGAATGTATTAATTAAGGCAATTTGTTTTCTAAACTAAATCTTTTTGTTGGTTTGTAAAAGCAAAAGGTGCCAATGAGCTACAACGTAAAAGCACTTTCACTCATCCGATAATGTGAAGTGTTGGATTTTATCTTTTATGATACTTCTGCCTTTACATGTCTTTTATTGAAGGTGGCAAAGCTTGGAACTGGTGGTGATTTGCCATACAGAATTGCTGTGCACCCTGGAGGGGAAGGTCTTATTTGTTCATTACCAAAAGGTTGCAGGTAGTGTTCTTGTGTACTTTGCTATGTTATTGGCACAAAGTTGTCTAATAATACGGAAACTCCACTCCAACATTACTGAAACATATTGAAATGAGGGATTTGAACTTGAACTACTTTTTCTTTTATTATATTTTGTTTCTGTGTTTGGTTTATAGTTGGGGCACCAATACCAGTTGAAATTCTAGGAATTGATATAATCATGGCTTTCTGGTCTGGTCTTCTAACAGCCATGGTATTTACGCAAGCATCTATTAGCAGTTATTGTTCATCTCCCAGCCTATTTCATCAATGGTTTATTATTCTTGATATTGGATGGGGCTAAATGAGGTTACTTGTCATGTCTTTTGTTTACCACCACGTGACAGGAGAACTTTACATTTCACAAATACATTTGTACGATCAGTTGTAATGACCGAAACATTTTAGGGAACGGATATGAGGAGTGTGAAGGAACATACACATAATATGTGCAATCCTTCTAGTGTCGGATAGAGGTTGGTTACTAAATCTAGGATTCGTAATTGCTGAAATAGGCGCAAATATGAATTTTCATCTTTCTTCCTTGGTGTACGTGTTTGCCCAAATAGGCAATTCAGCTGACCATCATAGACCTACCATAATATAAGTGTTGTTTTGCATTTCTCACCTTTCATGTCACACCCATTTCGAGAGACCTCTTTAGTTTTCCTAAGATGGAAGGGTAACTTAATACGTGACAATTCTTGCACTAGGAATGTAAGAACGTATGAAAAACTAACAATCTCAATTGATAATCTAATAAAATAGATAATTTAGGTGACAGAATACACAACGATGTCGCATGAAACAAAAACTATAGGTATTTCATCCCTTTACAAGAAGGAAACAAAATACTCACGTACACTATGTACATAAACAGTTTCCTTAATCTTTCTCTACCATGTTATTGTTGTACTGAATCTCACTCTAGACTTCAACATTCATAAACGAGTAATTTTCTTGAATGTATCGAACATCATAATCAATGGAAATACAATGAAAATATGTATTAAATATCATTCCACCCAAAATATGTGCACAATCCAAACCAAATCAAAACAAAAGTGATATCAACCCACTTTGGAACTCAAGTCAACCTCATATATCAAAATAGTAGATATTCCACATGAGCCACGAGTCAAACAACAACATTTAAGCAATTTCAAACTATCTATAATATTTAAGCAATGTCAAACTATCTCACAACATTTACTCAATGTCAAAATCAACAACATGCTATGTCAAGCTATTAATAACTCGGCACAGTGGCTAATATTGAAACCACAAACTTTTCACAAAAGTATATTTGATCTATAATTTAAGGAACTCAACTCAAATAAATTTGTCAAAGTTGATTTTCACATAAGAAAGCTAAACTTTGTATATCATATACTTTTATTTTTAATTGTTATGAAGCGTTACACTCACTTTTTACCACCAACAAATACACCACACTACTTTACCATCGATCTCTAGGTGGAACTGATAGTAGTTATTGACCATAACAATTAGCATATCTACAAATGCAAAAGAGTGTCGACTCTAAAATAATTCAAGAAATGCATATGGGAATGGTTTATCGTATTTCAAAGACTTTAAAAAATTTCAAAGGACATTGTGAATTAACCCATTTATCCAATTTTTGCTTTAGACACCTTAAGAATGATTAAAGTGTAAAACTAAGATTAAAGCATGTTTGGGTGTACAATGACGAGGAACCCAAAACTATCAATAAAATAACTAGTGAAATGATTGGTGTGGAGCCATCAACGGACGGCTAGAGTGGTCGACCGATCGGTGTTGTCATCCTAACTGATGATTAAGTGAGTGTATGAATAGTTAAATGATTTGCGCTAATTTTTTTTACTTGTTTTCTTTTTCTTTTATATCACAATCAAATTAACTCAGATCGAGTCATTTTAGCCCCATTTTTGCGCATTCCTTTCACTCATACCTTTTCTCGGACACTTAAGATGCCTTGAGGTAATAAGCGAATTCATCTCACTGTTGTACTAAGAATAGCCTTTTTATCCTTACTAAATGAACATGAAACCAAAACCATTCTAAAGTAGACTTTCTAAGCTTCTAACCATAGGTCATGGGCTATAAACGGCTTCCCAAGAAAAGCATTACAATTACTTTTTTGTCGGGTAACAAATCTGTCCATAATAATCAGCCCTGGTTTTTAGTCATTTTAAAACAAAAAACTGTATCGACATGGGGATAATCTAGTGTTCTACAATACACCATTGGAACAAGTTTTGAATCTAATTTCCAATGCACCAGACGGTGCACGAATCCAAGTTTTCTAAAGAAAATTATCACTGTTTTTTTATTGGTTATTCAATTTANTTCCAATGCATCGGACGGTGCACGAATCCAAGTTTTCTAAAGAAAATTATCACTGTTTTTCCATCGGCTATTCAATTTGCCAATGAATGCTGAAAATACGACAATCTTTTTAATTAAATTTCCAGCATGCGAAATAAATTCCAATATCTTTAATCTCATATTCTAGCTTCCTAACAGAAATCTTAGCAACCATAATTTTTTTATAGCAAACCCTAGACTTAAACGAATTATCATTTAAATTTTAATAAACATTGTTCTTGCTCTTTATTTAATGAATAATTACACTTTTCATGACAAAATACTTGATGCTAATTCCACTTTTAATCAAATTCATTTTCAATATCTGCTATATTCACGAATTCATTATAACCAAAATCAAAATTTAAATCTAATTTGGATATTTCGATACATGAACATAACTTCTACTTACAACAAATAGCATAACTAAAAGCTTCTTACCAATTAAAAAGTCTTAGGTTCTAAGTTATTCTCCTCTTTTTTTCTTTTTCTTGTCCTTTCCCAACTAAAACTTTCTCTCTTCTTCTATTTCCCTCGTTTTCTTCCCCTTTCTTTCGGTTTTCCTTTCCAGACTTCTTTTAATATACTCTATATACTAGAGACATAAACACACCCACTTTTCTCTACTACACATTTTTTGCCAACATAACATAACCACACACGTGCTATACAATTTATAGGTGAACAAGTGTCCAATCTTTGGCACTTTTCCACAGACAATTAAATTTCGTTTCAAAACATTCGAAACGTTTCCATTTTCATGGAAAAAAAAACGAATCATTGAATGAATATAAGAATTCCTATATTTTGAGGTGTTACGATTTTTATCTTATTTCCTAAATGTTTCCGAAACATTACCAAAATATTTCATTTCCAAGCTCACTTAAACTATATAAAAAAACAAAATTTTAATCATTGAATTTGCTCACCAAAAGTTTTGGGTTATTACAATTACCTCCCCAAAACTTAGGAAAAAAAATTCCTTTTCACCATTAATTTATTTTAATGAAATACAATGCATGTAAGGGTTTCACATTGCATGTTTGCTTCAATGGAATCTGCCATTTTTCTCTTTTCATTTGTCCTTTTTGTTTGGTTTTTGTAGGGGTGGGCATGATATGTTGCCCCCTTATACGCACCCTCCCTTCCAATTTAGGTGCCTTGATGGCCTACCTAATACATTATAATTTGTTGCTGAACGTGCAATCTACTTGTTGGACTTCGTTTGAATATACACCAAAAAGATATGCTCTTGCCAACATTACGTTGCAGTCTGTAGTGATATGAACATGAGTATTGACTTGTACATGATAAGCTTCTAAGGGAAATAGTAACGTAGTGGCTGTTAGATGAGACAACTCATAATCCAAACTCTGCATGTTTTCATTTTTTCAACCTTCGTTGTTGCTTGCAACTTATTTAGGGAAATTGTGCTTATATTGTGTAGTTGGTTTGAATGGGATGCAGTCAAGAGCAATGATGGTCAAAAGTTGAGTCTAAAATCATCTGAGAAACTTCTTCATCAATTGGAAGATGTTGGACAACAATTAGCATTGACCTTTAATGATGGGGGTTCTGTTCTTGCTGTTGGTGGTGAGGTGGAGCTCCTCTTTTTTTTTTCACTATTCTTCGTTTCAAAGTTCAGTTCAACTCAACATATAGATCACATAGATTTTCTAATAGACAAAGTCTAAATATGCTTTTATTGAGTTCTATAAATATTGTTGTTACTGCAAGTTTTGTGGACTTTTTGAATATTCTGACCTCTCCCTCTATTAGTCACACATTGGCAAGTGCGCACACTCTAGCACGCACTCGTGGACATGCAAACATGAACATGTATACACCCTAACACATGACAGCACTTGCACTCATGATTCAAGTTTGCGGTATCATTCAATTTCTTGGATAGGCAATGAGCCACAACATTGCTTGATGGAATTGGTGATATGCATGAAATAATAGGTTCAAGAATTTAGAAATGGCAAAAGATTTTTGTCATATTCCAACATAATGGAATAGTATCATAGCATACATTGTGATCAATTGACTATGTCATCCGAGTCATCTAAAACATCTCTCAATCAAGCACAAGTCGAGGGTGACTCTTGATTTACACAAACATGTAGTAGTCTCGAAACGAAAGGGTTCCATAGTCGGATATGACTCTGCCAAATCATCTCAGTATTACCTAATACTTTGAATCTTGCTTCCAATCTCTCTTTAAAATGGAGTGGTCAGTCTCGAAACGAAAGGTTCTATTGTTGGATATGACTCTGCCAAATCATTTTGGTATTGGCCAATACTTTGAATCATGCTTCCAATCTCTCTCGAAAATGGAGTGGTCATCTACATTTTTAACTCTGCTTTGTTTTCATTTCAATTTTTCGAATTTTTTTTTCTTTTTGGATGTGGACAACTACTTGATCTGATTATATTGTCAATGATTGTGGTTTAAGTGTATTAGATCTTCTTCTTGATAAGCAAAATTCTATTGAAGTGCAGAACTAAAACATCTACAAGCAGTTTACCATAAAAAGTCCCGCTGAAAATCTATAATGAATCTAAAGGCCTTGATGAAGTCTTGGAAAGACTTCATCAAAGCAAACAAAGAAGATTGAACATTGAACATAATGATTTGAGCTCATGCAGGGGTAGCTCAACCCCCTCAGAAGTATTTAAATTCATCTATGCCATATTAGGCAAAGAGGATCCCCATCTTGGCTCTACAACCTCAACAACAATACAACACCATCTGAATTGCTTGCGACATCACCAAAACCTACCCAATCAAGCGAATGAAAAATGCAACAGTTCCCTGACAACTTCATAATGCAGGAGCAAGTGGTTCACTGACTCCCCCTCCCTTTTACTCAACATCAATTCACACTTTCACAGGATAAGTAATGGAAAGAAATCTTCAAAGTTGTTTCTTGTAGGCATCTCTTTCACCAAACTAGAAAGAAATGCATATTGGACCCTTCGCAATCATCCACATAAATTATGTATTGAACAATGCCTGATATTTTTTTTTGCTACAAAGTGCACGTACATGAAGAGCAGAAGTTATTGTATGGTTTACTGATGATCAGCTATCTTCTATCTCAAGATGCACATTTTAGGATCTGCATCTTGTAAAATATTTCCCAAATGCAAGTCCTGGATCCTCTTGATTAAAGGGGCTCCCACCTCTGAATTGGACGAGGTGGATTTAGATTGAATGTATCATTGTTTTCTACCATAGGCATTCTGCATTCTTGGTCTCCAGCTACCTTGTCTTTATACTATTCTTATGGAGAGTAGTTTTTAGTATCCATTTCTGGTGACAGTACAGGATGGCAAGTTGAGGGTTTTCAAATGGCCTAGCATGGAATTTATTCTTGATGAGGCTAATGCCCATGCCTCTGTGAAGGATTTAGATTTCAGGTTCGCTATAATACCTACATCGTTGTATTGAATTGTGTTTTTTATTTGTTGCTACCTGGAACTCATAAATTTTGCAAACAAAGAGGTTCCTATTCATTTGTGATGCAAGTTTTCTCATAAAACTGGCTATGTTTTTGTCTTGCAGCCCCGATGGAAAATACCTTGTCTCTGTGGGAAGTGGTGGCCCTGGTAGGGTTTGGAATGTTGACTCATCAACTTCTATAGCTTCTTTAACAAAGGAAAATGTAAGAAATTATTTGTAAATTATATATAGTACATATGGAACCAAAGTTTTGTATAAACTTCTTGTTGGGGGCAGGACATTTGGCATAGCATGTATATGCTAGCATTCCTCCTCAAATTTTTTTGGTTAGTAGTTGGTGAGGTTTGATGTGGTTGACATGCAGTGCATGGTAAGCGTATGCTCCTTTAATGAAGATTTGTTCAGTTTGATGAATTGACCTATAACTCCTTACTGAACGTTTGGATGATGACTGTCTATGCTTTCTACATATTGAGTAACTTTTCACCTTGATAAACTTTCATGTAGTTTAAGTTTTCTTCCACAACTTTGTTTCTAATCGAGTTGTTCATCATGTCCAGGATGAGGTTTTTGGTTTCTGCAGGTTCTCACAAGCTAGTGACAAGAATCTAGTTCTATATGTCACAGCGATGCCAGGTGGATAGAAAATATCAATTATGTTCCTCCTATTTCATTCTCAAAGCAAATCCTTCAACTATACTCTTCTATGACCTAACCATCATGAACATTGTTTCTAAATGTTTAGGGCAAGGTGGAAGCATTGTGAAATGGAATACTACCTCATGGAAGATGATGAGCTCAAAGTGCATTGTTCGAGACCCAATTTCTGCTTTCAGTGTTTCAACTGACGGAAAGCTCCTTGCAGTGTAAGTTCTTTATTATTAGCTTCAAGTGGTTGTGGCATTCATTTACACTATTGTCTTAAAGGTATTGTGATATGGTTGTATGAAGTGAGATATTGAAATATGTGCCTAAGACATCGTAAAATTATGACGTCTCTCATCACTCTTTTTTTCTTTGTTTTTTTTTTTTTGGGGGGGGGGGTGAGGGGTTGACATTTCTGTGAAAGCAGTCACCGTTGTAACTATGTTGAGGTTTCTTGTAGGAAGGGTGCGTTAGTCACTGTCATCCTTGTTGCCAGCTACTTCATTTCCTTGAGCACTTTTTTTTTTTTTTCCTAACTTGCCATTGGTCAATATGCAGAGGGACAATTCAAGGAAATGTTTTAATTTTAAACTCCACCAGCATGCGAGTGCAGACTATTGTCAGAAAAGCACATCTTGGCCTTGTGACAGCATTAGCTTTCTCGCAGGATTCAAGGTTCTCATTTAAAAAAAAAATCATTAATTTTCTTTTCTAATCAACATAAGCTACAACATGCCTGTCCTCCCTAAAAACTACATAGTGAATGTGTGTTTATAATACAGGTCTTTGGTCTCTGCATCCTTGGACTCGAGTGTAAGGGTGACAATTGTGAAGGATGAGGAGAAAAATGGTATGTGCCTCCCTCGACTTTTTAATACTAGGCAACAAATATTAAAGTTGATAGAATTGATCACAAAAGAAAAGAGAGAAGAGAAGAGAAAGAGAAAATATTATTAGATCTAAACTAGTCTGTAATATACGATTACATTGAATACTAAAATGTAAAGGCCCTTATATAGCAAGAAGTAAATTGTAGTTGCTCGTTCTTCTTCTGCTGAGTAACGTGCTATGGTGTGAAATTTGGTAAAGTAATCTGCAAACCGTATAGTAGAAGATAGAAAATGGAGAGAAAGTGTGTCAAGCTAAAGATGATGGCGAGTCAGACACAGTAATATCAACATATGTGTCAGTGGGAACATTAGCAGGAAAGGGATCAATATAAATGAGATCAGATTTATGTAGAGAGGAGGAACTAGATGGAATCGTAAAGAAAGAATATGTTCCATAAAGACAACATGACGAGAAACATATAGTTTACGTGTAATAGGACCATAGCAACGATATCCTTTTTACCCTCCCCATAACCAAGAAAGACACATAAAGTTGAACGAACAGAAAGCTTAGAACGAAGAATACTAGGAAGTAAAGACAAAATAAGTACAACCAAACACACGTAAAGAGAAATAATCGAGTGGCTTACCACACAAATTTTCTAATGGAAATATGCTAAAAGTGAGAATGGTACGAATGCAATTGATCAAGTGAACTGCTGTGAGAACTACTTCCCCCCAAAAGGGGCTAGGGACATTTACTGACAACAGGAGAGAACAAGTTATCTCCATAATGTGGCGGTGTTTGCGCTCAACAGCACCATTTTGTTCGGGGGTATCAGTACATGAGAATTGATAAATAGTACCATTAGATTACAACAAATCATAGAAAAAAGTAAAGGATTATTCACCTCCTTGATCACACTGAAAACATTAATAATAGAGGAATACTGAGTGTGTACCATACCACGAAAAGCAGTGAATATGGAAAAAAAATGCAAATTGACATTTCATCAAATATACCTAACAGTAGCTGATATGATCAACAATGAAAGAGACGTAATATCTGGACCTTACTTGTGAAGGAATAGGAGCAGGTCCCATATATAAGAATGTAGTAAACTTGGCTAACTTGTTTCCACTATAATTCGAAATGTCATAACACTCTAAACTTTCCAGATTACTAGTAGAAGTCAAGAATTTTAAACGTGAATGTGAAACATGACGAAGACGAGAATGCCACAAATTAAAACTAGATAACAGTGGACTCAAATGAAAAGACGATAGATTGAGTGGAGGCAGCAACATTTGGAGCATGTAGCTCCTCCAACACATACAGTCTTCCCTTTCTACGGCTAGTCCCAATCATTTTCTTGAACCATGGATCCTGCACTATACAACTAGAAGAAGAGAAATGAATTAAGAATCCACAATCAAAAAGTTGACTAACTGGGATTAAATTTAATGTAAGTTAAAAAATGTAATAAACATCTGGAAGAGTAAGTTGGGAAGAAATAACAGACCCAATATTAGCCAAAGACATTGGAGTTCCATTGGCAGCAAGCACAAATACATAAGGAAGAGAGATAATAGAAGCAAATAAAGATGAATCACTAGTCATGATGTGTAACACCTGAGTTAAGACTCAGGCGGTTTGAGATATACCTGAGGGACCCGCATGGAACACACTTATGGAAGGAGAGATTGTGAGAGCACAAGGCTAATGGAAAGAGATGACCTTCTGCAATTGATCAGCAATCATAGTTAGGCAGGGGGCTGATGAAGATGACCCATCCACTTGTGGTAAGACAGCTACCGTATGACGGTCTCTATTGTTGAATGGCTGATTTAGTGACCCCTTAGCACTCTTATTCACCAATTTTGGGCACCGAGCCTTCCAATGGCCCTTTTTACGACAAAAGGTATATTCATCCGAAGTAGCTCGGCGTCGATACTTGTGATGTGAAGTAGAAGTCACCATGATTAGCCTGCAAGAGTTACAATCAAAGACCAAGGTCCACAAGAAAGCTAGCAAGATTATAGCCTAACAAGCCATTAAATCAAAAAATCCAGCCAACAATAACAGCCAAACAGTAACCCACTACTCAAACAGATCAAACCCAATATCACAACCACTGTTCAAACAAACCAACCAAACTGAAGCAGGAAAGTCAAAATCCAGGGGACACATTCCTTCAAACACCGAAGTAAGAAAAGCCAAAACCAAGCCAGAAGACAATCAAATTCAAAGCAAGTAAGAATACTGAGCCAGCAATCCAGCATATAGAACAACAAAAATCAGTGCTTCGATCAACCAGAGGACAAAGCCCACAACTAAGGGTGTTTAAATTTTCGATTGGGCGCAATTTTCTACCCTACCCTACTGAACAGCTAGCCGCAAAAATCAGATAGGAATGCGGATGAGTTTTTGGTCTTTCGATTAAATCGGGTAAGAATGCGAAATACTCATCAATTTTTGCATTCCTACCCTACTCTACTTGCAAAAAATATATTTAACTTTTTTATATTTTTTTTAGTAATTATAAGAGTATTTGTGTGATATAATTTATATTATAACATTATTATTGTTGTGGATGTTTGAGTTGCAAAAACATAGACTTGTTTTTTGTGTAGGTTACATGATTTGTGGTGAATTGATTATCTATTGGAACAATTATGATTTTAATGTGTTTCATATAGTTTAAATTTAAAATAATTGTTATTGTATTTGTGTAACAATTATGATGAATTGATGTTTCTGCTTTCTTATGTTTTATTGTAATTGTTATTATAGTTGTTTTATGTTTTACTGTTATTGATTTATTGTATTGTTAAATTGGTGCATGTTATTTAATTGAATTGTTAAAATGATCCAAAAATTATTAACTACACAAGGGTTTACCCGACTTCCTACCCGATTAATCGGGTAGGAAGTCGAGTAGAAATACCACAGTTGATCGGGTTGGATAGGCTAAGAAAAAATTATTCTGCAAAGTATCGGATAGGAAGACGGAAGACTATATTTCCTACCGTAGGGTAGGGTGAACACCCCTACCCACAACAACAGAAACAGGCGCAACAAAGAACAGAGATGTCGAAATTGAATCCCTGGTGGCCAAAATAAAGCCAAAAATTCCTCAAAAAACTTTGGGTCTCTCAAGAGATGATCATGGAAGCTTAGTCGCACCTGTTAGAAAAGATTTGAACCAAAAATTGTAGTAAAAAATCCTAGTTCTTACAGATCGAAGAATTCTAACATTTTTAGCCGAAAATATTCAAAAATAGAAACACTTACCAAATGAGTTCAAAATGAAAAACAAAGTATACCGGTGGAAATCCCATGAAATTTGAAGTCTAATGGTGGTCTTCACAGTCGGAAAAGGATAACGTCAGCATGATGGCATCACCAGCGATGCTGGCGTGATTTTTTTTTTTACCTTTCTGCTTTTTGTAATCTGAAGTCTTGGATTATAACTACTCTGATACCATGATAGAATTGATCACAAAAGGAAAGAGAAAGAAGAGAATTTATTAGGTCTAAACCAGTCTATAATATACGATTACGTTGAATACTAAAATGTAAGGTTCTTATATAGTAAGGCAACACAAAGCAAAGAACATGACTAAACTAACCTTAATACTAGAAAATACTAGACTACTCTAACGAAAGTATCTGCAACTATTATGTTACTTGCAATGGTTTGCCTGCCCATATACTCAGAACACCAGCCATGGGCTAAAACCGGGTCTAGCTGATTTGAGGTACATGAACTATGACTTATGGCCGAACAGTATCAGCCCAAGGTTGAGTCTTTATTTGAGTGACCCTATTTTGGGAGACGGGGGTTGACCTTCAAATTTGCAGACTAATTTGTTCTGATATATTCTGTTTATTAAATAATATTTAAATGCACTATAAATATGTACTTCTCTTATACTTAAAANTTGGTGCATGTTATTTAATTGAATTGTTAAAATGATCCAAAAATTATTAACTACACAGTTGNTTAAATAATATTTAAATGCACTATAAATATGTACTTCTCTTATACTTAAAAGCATTGTTGGAACGGTTTCTTCTGGATATTCCTTTTGTTGGGGCTACCTATTAGACCCCAACTCGGCTGGGCCGAGTTAGCTGACTTGAACATGACAGATTGGGGGCCCTGTTTTTTATTCCTTGAAACACCCCATTGAAAGTCCTGCTTTCTTACATATCATCCTTCTCAATCTATGTACTTATTTATATTGCAGGACTGAGGTTGTGGGTTATTCTCTTCATCATCGTACTTGCAGTTGCTATGTATTATACTAAAAGTGAAGGAATTCTTCCTTAGAAGCTTCTGTTTTCTCAAGCTAAAAGATGAGAAATTTACCTTCAGTGTGGCCAACAAAATATTCAATTTTTTTACTTTACGATCACAAGTATTGTATTTGATTGTATGGATTGGTGGAAGCTTGCTTGTGGGGGAAAGCAGTATGGAACACAGGTTGGTTGGTGTGGGATCCAATGTCACGACAATTACCATGGTAATAGCCTAGTATGACTACCCTAGGTTAGGAATGTTGGAACAATAATTTGAACATGGATTTATATATATCCTGTACAGATTTATCCTCGGAACAAAAACTACTTTTTTTTTCTTATTTATATTTGAATTTATGGAAATTTGCTCCATAGTATGATATATTGAACTGGATTAGTTTATATATGATGGAAAACTCTTTTCCTTCTTTATTTTCATATCCAGGTATAGATATTGTGAATATAGCACCTGGATATGAGTAAATACTACTTGCAATGTGAACAGCCATTTTCAGTTTGAGCGAGCCCTTACTGAGGATGAGTAGCTAGGATTAATTCGACAGGTCACAGTGGATGAAATCCAAAGGTAGCTGCCATTAAGGTATTTTCACATACTGGAACTTTGAAACCAGACCCCAAGCTTCATCTCATGCACAGGGAGTGCAGTTGGTCTGACAATCACCCATTCGTTTCAACAAGCCTGTTTTCCATACACTGAATCTTTGGACTTGAATACTGCAATCTTTGTTTGCATTAGAACCTTCTCTGGATGGATGCTCTTCTCGTCCAGTCTCCGCCAAATTCATAGCTTCATTCAAGCCAACCGCAAATGTGTCGAGGCAGATGCCTTTGTTGGGCCAGTTTAGACACCTCGAAAGATGTCCAGAGTTCTGTGATGATGCTGGTTGTGCACCACCAAACTCACATTTGTCGTCGATGAGACCTCCCCTGCCATTCAAGTGGTTTATGTGTGCATCTTTAATACTTTTTGATCTGTAGTTGCATTTTCATAGACATCTATGGCCAGGTTTTTTGAAGCAAATTCATGGATAGCACATCCGCAAAAAAGAACTCCTTAGTTTGAGTAAATATTCGATACAAAAGTGATAATGATAGTGATACTAATACACGACATCATCATTGATATATGTTGTCATATCTCCCATTGAAAAGAATTATTTACACCCATAGTTCAGCTCACTTCCAAAATCATGATTAAGACAGCTGATCTTATAGCTAGGAGTATTAAAAAAAAAAAAAAGAGTATCAATTCATGTCGTGATATGTCATTCAATTGTTAGTATTTTTGGGTTCTATTTGTATCAATACTCTTAAAAAAATCTATTTAAGTGTTGTAAGTGTCAAATATTAATTCAAGCAAGTTATTATATTTATTTATCGCTCTTATCAATTTTAAAATTGTGTTGTGTCGAGTCCAAATTAATAGGGCAAATTGTCACCTATAGCTGTCTTGCCCCCAAAACCACTCATGAGATAAATGAAAAGGTCATTAGTTGCCAGCATAACTGTAGTGAGTCTTCCAGTGCCACTGCTGATTGCAGCAGTTCATGCAATAACCAAGGGAAATCACAACCTTCCAACACATTCAAGACTTAGTTTTTTAGCTGCCCAAAATAACCTGCAAAAAGAGGTCCAATTACAAAACCAGAATGCTAATTTTTCTAATTAAACCTTAGGAAAGGGTCATTACCCAATTTAATGGCTGTTAATAGGATACTTGGAGAGGGTAGCGTCCGATACAAATTCTCGTCAAAAAAAATACGAGGGGTACAAACCATTTACACAAATTGACTCTAATTTGAACCCATAACACCATGATTGTTAGCACGATACTTTTACCATTGCACCATGCAATGGTGGCCCCATTTATTCTTATTGGTCATCCAAGTCCAAATATCACAAATACAAGCTGGAAGAAACTAGATTACTATGTAATAATATTGGGAACATCAATATTGTATTTCACCATTGCGTTCAACTAAGAGTACGATACAAGATTGTTTTATGTTGTTCCTTTTCAAAATTCATGACCAAACTCTCAGCAATTGCATCAAAAGTACAAGTCTTCCATGCAACGGAGCTAATAAATAACAGCCTTAGACTNTCAACTAAGAGTACGATACAAGATTGTTTTATGTTGTTCCTTTTCAAAATTCATGACACAACTCTCAGCAATTGCATCAAAAGTACAAGTCTTCCATGCAACGGAGCTAATAAATAACAGCCTTAGACAGTGTAAAAATTACAGATTATGTAACGTGAATAAGTTACTTAGAGAGGCCTTCCCCGGTATTTCTCAGGAGTTACTATGAACAAGCTGTGAAGAAGTTGGGAATCTGTTGAGGTCAATTTTGTAAGAGGAAAAAAATCTAGGTAAAGGAGGACTTGCAATAAATCAATTCAAACACGATAGTCATTGGTGCTTCCTTTGATAGACTGAATAGCCAACAAAAGCAGACATCAGAAATGTCCACAACACCTGCAATGAAATAATAAGATAAATGTACTTTTCAAATTGAGTTAATGTATGGGTTANTTCCTTTGATAGACTGAATAGCCAACAAAAGCAGACATCAGAAATGTCCACAACACCAGCAATGAAATAATAAGATAAATGTACTTTTCAAATTGAGTTAATGTATGGGTTATTTTTTTTTTGACAAGAAGGTAAAATCCTGTGTTAAATCAAAGGGTAACGATATCATGGAGAGAATATGGGAA